TCGTCTTGATCCTTTAAGTACTTTCACTGTCTTATTATTCGAACAGACTGATATATTTTATGGCCAAATTAACTCTTTCCTCCAATGATGAAGCATACGAAGAGTCATATGTCAATGTCATTCCTCGTCGAAAGCATGCATTTATTAGCCACCTTTACCCACCTTTCTATATTCAGGTCATGGACGCCTTTGCAAATTACCGACCTTTGGATTACGAACACATTACTCTTAATCCTTTGATTCAGAAGGCTACAAACAAAGACATAAGAATTTTCCCTTCTGACCTACCTTTACAGTTCGAACAATCTGCCCTCAAACCTCTCATTCGTAAAATTACAAACATGGATTTGAGCAACTCTTCTTCGCAAATTTCTGTATGGGATAAAGCTGCAACTGCTTCCTCTTCTGGCTCTTCTGGAGGTTCTGACTGGACAAGCTGGTCAGTACCTGAGACTTCTGATTTAAAGGAGCGAATCAACCACCATTTTGTTGAGTTCACTGACCCTTTAGAGTTTCCCTCCTATGCTCGAAGTTCAGTTGTTTATCCTTATGTGCCCATTGACCATCGGCGTAGTCTGGAGGAGAATCTTCTTGTAGCATGGTATACATCTTCCATGCCTACAAAGATAGTGCACTCTGCTCCTCGCCCAGAAGAAACACAAGGGTATAACCCATCATTTTTATCCCAAAAGGCGAAGATCTGTTCTTCTGACTGGCTTGATTATATTAATGCCTTTGTTCCTTCTGCTCCCATATCATCCTCGAAAACAGAAGCGTCCACACCTTCTTCTTCGTCTCCCGAAATTGATTCTCCCCTACCAATTCTTTCCTGGACAGAAAAATTGAAGATTGCCCTACCCACGGAGAATGCCTTTCCACCTTATAAACCTCTGCCTTCGCCTACCTCAGCTGAGCGGAAACAGGCTCAACTTCTGCTTGCAGCCTTCTCTCACTTGCCCTTTAATGTTCTTGAGGACGAAGTCCCTCTTAAGAACCTTCAATGGGCTTGTGACATCATGACTAGGGGCCATGTCCTTAATCCCCTTGCTCAGGCAGAACTTCATATGTTTCTGGACCAACTTCCATTGCTTCTTCACTGGCCTCGCAATTCTATGGCTACTACACAATCGTTAGACCAGCTTTCGTCCCTTCGAATTCATGCTCAGTACGAAGCAGAGAACTTTATTGAAGAATTCAATGATTTCAAGAATAAAGATTCTGCGTATTGGGATGACTTAGACATTGATGAATTGGAACAAGGGTTAAGAGAGGTGGCCTTCAAAATAAAGGCTGAAGAGCTCTACTATGAAGTGAGAGCACATCAACTTATGCAGCCGATGCTAGAAAATTTAGAAGATAGAATAAGGAAAGAACAAAAGTTCATTGATCATTGTTGGACCAAATTTCATGATCTTGTTATTTATTCCATTCCTTATTTTTATGAGCTCGAGTTTATACCGAGATAGGGTCAGCTGATGTAATCACTCTGATCTTAATATAAACAAAATTTGTCTTTGTTTGACCCTGTCCTCACTTGTATTTTTACTTGTGTTTTAAAAGTCAACTCAGAGCTTCGAACTTCGAACAATTTCATCCTTTAAATTTGGACTTAATTGTTTTAAATAAAACACTAAATGAGCCAATTGTAACCTTTCCAATTTGTTGAATTGAGTTTTGGCTGATTTTCAATTGGAAACAGTGCTTCGAATCTAGCAATCTTACATTCAAAACCTGTTTTGACCACAGTCAACATCTAGTCATTGTCATTATTGCTTTTGATGTGTCGAACACCAAATCCCATCCTTAAAGAAACTCAAGTTTTGCTTCGAAGGACATTACCTTTGTTAAAGAAACTCAAGTTTTGCTTCGAAGGACATTATCTTTGTTAAAAAACTCTAAAAATAGGTCTTTAAGCCCTTTTAAAATAAATACACGAGTATTTTTATTTCTTGGGTAGGGCAACCCACTTCGAAGCTGGCTTCTCTGTTTTCGAAGCCGTTTGACTCGGCTTCGAAGCAAAATATCTTACTTTGAAGCTAGCCTTAACAACCGGGCTTTGTTTTTCCCTCCAAAAGCATCAATGTTGAAGGAAGCTTTTGTACTCGTATTTTTAATACTTAACAGCTCATGTAATATATTTTCAAATACGAGGGCTTTAAAAACCCTTTTGTTTTGTGTTCTGAAATCACCTGCTCTTCTAATCGCACCAACCCCTCTTATTACCAATCGTCGGCTTCTCTCTACTTCCTTTCCCGAAGAAAAACATACTGTCAATGGCTTCTCCTTCAGTATCAATCGTAGAGCGTATGAGCCCATCTGTGGCCCTGAAGAGGATTATTGACGCAGAATGCGAAAAGTACAAAGCTGGGGAGAAGAGCGCTATTGATGGACGCATCTTTGTCCCTCGTCGCCATGTGCAGTCAGACTATGTGCTCGGGCCCATATTCAAAGAAGTCCTCACTGAACTCCCAGCCCTGTATCCCCGACTGGAAAACCAATGTCTTATCTATGAAGGTGGTCTTGACTGGAGGAACTGGAGGATGAATCGCCCCCACCGATACTGGCCCACGGTGAGACCAGAGTGGCAAGAGTGGTATGATCGGGTTATTCCTGCTAGGACCCTGGACCTTCAAGAACTCTGCCTTCTCGATGCTCTCAGACTATCTAGGGTAACTATTTCAGAAGACCCTTTCCTTGTTCCCGCTGCTCTATATTTTTGGAATCCTGTCTTTAACTTTTTCCAATTTAGATGTGGGATGATGGCCCCTACTGTTCTTGATATTTGCCATTTATTGGGACTATCTCCTATTGGCACTCCTTTTGGACCAGATTATCCTGATTTAGCAGTCCCTTTCTCTCTCCCCGCCCTTAACTCATCTTATAGTGATTTCGCTAGGGCTGAGAATAAAAGACAGGGCCCTGTGACTGATAGGGAATTTTTTTCTTTCTTATTGTATTGGCTTTGTAAATTCCTTTTTTGCACTTCCTCTCAGAGAATTATGCCTGAATTTGCCCCTCTTGCCAAAGCCTTTGTTTTATAGAAAAAGGTGGCCTTAGCCCCACATGTTCTAGGGCATGTATATAGAGTCTGCTCCCTTTTTTGTGAGAAACCCTTAGATGCTAATCAAGGGGGGCCATTCTGGATCCTTCAGTTTTGGCTTTTCACCTATTTTACCGAATTACAATCCAAATGCCTTAAATTTTCCGAGCCAAACCCTCTTACTCATGGCATAAGGATAACCAATGCTTCACTTTACCCTTCTACCTTTGCTTTTTACTTCTCTTTCTTTCATCAGCTTCCAGCCTCCCTTCCTACTTACCGCTTTCGTCCCTTCGAACCTTCCATTGGTCCATCTTGGTTGAGGAATTTTCTAAGTGACCAGTCCTATACTTCACTTACTCACCAGGATATATGGGCTTCCATTCTGATTCCCAGAGAGTTATTCATCGGGACTTTGAACCCGAAGGCCTACAAATGCATTGCTGAACCTTACTGTCCAGCTCAGTTTGCTAGACAATTTGGCCTCGCGCAAGGAGTCCCAATACCCCTCTGTAGCAATACAAATCTCAGCCTTACCAGAAGGGATTTGAAAGTTAAGAAATCCAGGCTAGAAGAGGCAACTTTGAAATTTATAGATGACTTAGCCACCTTTGAATACACCCCTTTCATTCCTCAAGGTACCGTGTTGAAAAGGTACCAAAATTGGTGGGTGACTAACATGGAGATTTATTTGGCCATTCCACCTTTAAGCCTACTAACAGTGTTAGATGTGATCAAGCCCAAAGAAACTGGGGAGGTCACTTTTTCCACTGTTTCAGAATTAGCACATGCTGCTCCTGCTGCTTCAATTCCTCCCAGAGTCACTCGGGCTGCCTCGAAGAAAGGTATATCCTTGTCTCTTCTCCTTTTGTCTTTCATAATGTACTTTGCCTTATCTTTAATTCTTCTTTTGTGGAGGTGGCCAATCACAAAAGAAAAAGAGCCTCTTTGAACTCGAGAAGGGAACATCCAATATTCAAGGGGAAGAAAAGGAAGAATCAGATGAAGAGGAAGAGTTATTTTTAAAAAGAAAGAAGAAGGCGATCGTCTTTTCATCCGACTAGGTAACTGCCAGAGAGTCAGAAGATGAATTCATTTCTCTGGAATCTAGATCGCAGCTTGAAGAACTTGAGGGAAAAGTTGAGAAATAAATTAAGAAAGAGCAGACCCTGCCAATACAAAGGAAAAGGAAAAGAAAGGTGACTGTCTCTCCTTCCGATATGGTCGAAGACTCTGATTCTGAGACAATCGCCAAAGCCATAGAGAAAAGAAAAAAGATGTCTGCTTCCGCTCCTATCTCAGTCGAAGATACCATCCATGAAACAGCCGTCAAGACAATAGAGCAAGAACATCCTAAAGCCATGATTGTCTTTGAGAGAGCTGAGAAGAGACGGCAGCAACAGTTTCTGAGAGATGAACCTGCTGCTGCTGACACACTACAAAGGGAAACTGTAAGAAGACAATAGACTGCCAGAGCTTACACCCTTCACAGTTCCCCCATTATCGCCGATACTTCTGGAGCAGGTAATTTTATACTTTTGCGATTTTTCCTCTGTTAACCTTTGGTATCAAGGTTTGACATTGCCTTACATTTCTTCCTCATGCAGCAGCAACTTCTGAGCTCATCTTTCCGATGGAACCTCTCTCAGTTTCATTCGAGGCAGATCAGACGCAGGATGTAGGGACTACTCAGACCATACTTCCATTTTTGGGGTTTAGATTTTCTACACTTTTCCTGAGGCCAAGCATTCCTGTACCTTTTCCTCTTGGCCTAGCTCCCTATCTTTCTTACTTGACTCTTGACTTTCCCCAATCTACTTCTTTACTGAGTCTTGCTCCTCTCTCCCCTTCCAAGGAGGCTCCAAGTGCTACCTTGTCTTTGATGAGTGCTGACAGCTCTCCAATTCGTGACTTACCACCTTTACCTAGCTCCAGCCCTCTCTCTCTCTCTATCTCTCTCTCTCTCTCTCTCAAAAAAAAAATATATATATATATGTATATATATCGATTTATAAAAGACCAAACAAACACCCCAACCGATCACTCACAATTTCTTCGATTAAAGTCAATACTTTAATCTTTTAAGCGAATATTCTAGGGTTTGTGATTTGGGGGTTTTGCTCAGGATTGTTGAGCTGATTCGGTGAAGGATCGAATTTGTTCGATTGAATTCGAGAAATTAGGGTTTCGTAAACGATGATGATAACGAATTTCGGATCGGGAAGCGTTTGATCGCCGCTCTTCGGCGATCCGGTTCGCGATTTTGAGGGGGTTTAGGTTTTGTATGGAAACTCGGAGTCGGAAGCGGGCGGAGGCTACCTCATCAGCCCCTTCTTCCTCATCTTCTGGTCCTAAAACCCGTCTCAGCAAGCGACCTCGCCTCTCCTCCGCCGCCGTCGTTTCCACTCGTTCACGCGTAACTCGGTCCCAAGACTCATTGGCTTCGTCTACTCCGATGGATTCAACGAACGAATCATCTGGGTCTCGTGGCCGACGAGGAAAGAATCAGGGTTCAGATAAGGACAATTCGGACAAAGGGAAAGAAAAAGAGCATGAAATTAGGGTTAGGGATAGAGAAAGAGACACTGAGAGAAGCCTAGGGGGGTTGAATATAGATGGTAATGGTGGAGACGATGATGATAACGACAGCGAAGGTGGTGGTGTTGGGATTCTTCACCAGAATTTGACTTCTGCGAGCAGTGCACTTCAAGGGCTTCTTCGGAAATTGGGTGCAGGGTTGGATGATTTGCTTCCATCGTCGGGAATGGGATCGGCATCGTCGTCGCATCTGAGCGGGCGGTTGAAGAAGATCTTATCTGGGTTGCGTGCGGATGGAGAGGAAGGACGACAAGTCGAGGCTTTAACACAGCTTTGTGAGATGTTATCTATTGGTACTGAAGAGTCACTTAGTACTTTCTCGGTGGATTCGTTTGTGCCTGTGCTTGTTGGGTTGCTTAATCACGAGAGCAATCCCGATATCATGCTTCTTGCGGCCCGGGCTCTGACACATCTGTGTGATGTACTTCCTTCTTCATGTGCTGCGGTCGTGCACTATGGTGCAGTTTCTTGTTTCGTTGCTCGATTGCTGACAATTGAGTACATGGACTTGGCTGAACAGGTGAGCCAATTAGTTGAAAGTAAGGGTTAAAGAAAATAATGAAAAAAAATAAAGAAAGGATGAAAATTGAATTGGGAAATTAAGTGAGCTCATAGTGGGAGGTTTCAGATTCAATTTAGTAACACTAGAAGGGTGATAGAACACTACCTGTGCACATTACGGGTGGTTGAGAGTAAAGACTGAGAGTGATGAATAGTGGGAACATAATTTATTTATTTTTAGTTCTGTTTAGTAAAGCTAAATATTTAGGAAAAGTATGATGTTTCTGTGGTTTTTTGGAAATCAGAATTATCTTACAGATTCACACCAAGAAAGATGTGTGCTTTATATAATATAATAGATAGAATAGAAGATAAGTGCAATTTTTTTGGAGCATCTCCAACCCTTCACCAATTTTTTCATCTAATTGGATTCCAAATTTGAGTAAAAAGCTTGATTTGATATGAACTACTCCAATCCTTTCATCAAAATCTTTTATAAAATTCCTCTTTTATCCCAAATTTACCCTTTCATCAAATTCAATTTTGATTGAAGATTTCATGAGTTCTCAATTTGGTGTAAAAAATGACTCCCATGATTTGATGAATAACTGATGAATGGATTGGAGATGATTTGTGAACATTATTTCATCAAATTTTATTTGATGAAAGGTGAAGGATTGGAGATGCTCTAAGAGCATCTCCAACGGTGACTCAAATTTTTCACCAAATCTGAGTAAAAAATGACCCATTTCACCAACTTTGATACCACTCGCTCCAACGGTTCACCTTTCACCAAATCTATCCCGGGACAACCGGGTGGTCGACCGGCCGGTTGACCGGCTGGTTGACCGGTTAGGCCAATTTTTATTTTTTATTTTATTTATTTTATTTTTTTATTTTTATTTTTTTCGCGAATTGTCTGAACTTTTTTTTGAACTTTCTGAACTTTTTTCGGGACGACCGGGTGGTCGACCGGCCGGTTGACCGGTTAGGCAAAATTTTTTATTTTATTTTTTTAACCGTTTGAACTTTTTTTCCTGAACTGTTTGAATCTTTTATTGGTTGACCGGTGTACTTCTTTCAACGGTCAGTAACAGTGATTTGGTAAAATCTGTGTCTTGGTCTCAGTTTGATGTTTTGTTTGCTGAATTCTCATTTTGATATGACTTTGGTGCAACGGTTGGAGCTTGAAAAAGTAGGTTTTTCATCAAAATTTGAATTTGATACTGGGTTTGGTTCACCGTTAGAGATGGTCTTAGATAGCACTTTGTATGTTATCACTATAATTCATGTAACATTTTGTAGAAATTGGCAAACATTACTTTTTTTTTTAACCTCCAAGTTCTGCTTTCTGATATTTGTGCATTATTTTTCTTTTCTATTCTTTTTGTTTTTCATGGAAACAGTCCCTTCAAGCTCTAAAGAAGATTTCTCAGGAACACCCAACTGCTTGTTTGAGAGCAGGTGCGCTAATGGCAGTGCTTTCATATCTTGACTTCTTTTCCACTGGAGTCCAGGTAGCCACTTGGTTAAGTTTGTAACTTTTCAGTTAATTGTGTGATGAGAGTCGCCATCTGCATTTTTTGAAGCCTTCCTAAATGATATCTCTTCCTCTAATACTTTGTCCCAGCGCGTAGCGTTGTCTACTGCGGCAAATATGTGCAAGAAACTTCCTTCAGATGCAGCTGACTTTGTGATGGAAGCTGTTCCTTTGTTGACAAACCTTCTTCAGTATCACGATGCGAAGGTGAGGTCATCTTTTTGTTGGTTCACAATCAAAGGCAACGACATGGGTTTGTTTATCATGTTTATTAAAATGTTCTTTCTTGTGTTTGTAGGTGCTAGAGCATGCATCTGTATGCTTGACTCGAATTGCTGAGGCATTTGCATCATCTCCAGATAAGCTGGATGAATTATGTAATCATGGATTGGTTGCACAAGCCGCCTCACTCATTTCCATAAGCAATTCTGGAGGTGGTCAGGCATCTCTTAGCACACCTACCTACACGGTAGATTGAATTTTGCTTTCATCTTAAATTAAATGCTTTTTGTAGATTGAGGCTTAAGTTTTGACTAAAAAGGCATGCAGGGTTTAATCCGACTGCTTTCCACATGTGCAAGTGGGTCCCATCTGGGAGCCAAAACTTTGCTACTCCTTGGCATCAGTGGTATTCTTAAAGATATACTATCAGGTTCAGGCCTTGCTTCTAGCATTTCTGTATCACCTGCCTTAAACAAACCACCAGAGCAGGTAGTCACTGCATTCTGCCTTCTTCTTTTTCTTTCTGAATCTGGGATTATCTGCATCACTTTAATTTTACCCAATAGATGCACCTTTCTGTAATTTTATCGGTGATGCATATATTTGTTTTAAATGGTTGGCAGTCGTTATAGCACTAAGAACACAAAGAAAATACCACAAAAGGAAGCACAACTTCTGTATATGTTTGATGTCTTCTAGTCTAATTATTTTTATCAAGTTCCATAAATTGGTTAGTTAGGGGTGACTATTGATTTAATGGTTAAGACTTGGTCTAATAACCTTGAGGTTATGGGTTTAAGGCTTGGGATCATCATTTTGTGCATTATGCCAAAGATTAGATGTGTACTCAATCTTTTCCCTCTCAAACACAAATTAATGTGTACTGATTGGGTGTTATTTTTTTTATTTTTATAAATTGGTTAGTTAAATTTTAGATTGCTTAGTAGCAAACAATCTTTATTACTAAATGAATGGTAGCTTGTGAAAGAAAAAGAGTGGTAGTTATACATCAATGGTACGAGTATTGTTATGTGTTCTTTTCGGAGTATGTTGCTGCTAGTTGTTTGCCATTGTATTCATCTTTTAATATCTTTGTAAAATTTATTTTATTTCCTTTTCTGGTTATTAATCCAACTTTTCTTATTTTTAAAACTTCCTTTTATTTGGCTTTGGCATTTTATTTTTCCTTGAACCTAGTTACCATCTACATGGAAATTTGAATTTTCTTTGTTTTCATTCTGCTTCTTAGATTTTTGAGATTGTCAACCTTGCAAATGAGCTTCTTCCCCCACTACCCCAAGGGACCATATCTCTTCCAGCCAGCACAAATCTATTTGTTAAAGGTCCTCTTTCAAAGAAGTCTCCTGTCAGTAGTTCTGGCAAACAAGAAGATACAAATGGAAGTGTAACTGAGGTTTCAGCTCGTGAGAAGTTATTAAATGATCAGCCTGAACTTCTGCAGCAATTTGGAATGGACCTTCTTCCAGTTTTAATTCAGGTTAGTTTTCCTGAGAAATTTGTTTGTCTGTAGTCCTACTTGCTGTATTTAATAAAACAGTACGGACATTGTTTGTCAAGCAGATATATGGATCCAGTGTGAATGGTCCTGTGCGGCACAAATGTCTCTCAGTTATAGGAAAATTGTTGTACTTCAGCAGTGCAGATATGATCCAGACTCTAATAAATGGGACAAACATATCGAGGTATTACATTTTCTTAAATTGTTTTCATAGAATGTATATGTATTTTTTTTGTCGTCTTTAAATACTGATAAATTTTTTATTTTTTACTTTTTGGGTAGCTTCTTAGCTGGGGTTTTAGCGTGGAAAGATCCACAAGTCTTGGTTCCTGCCCTTCAAATAGCGGAGATTCTAATGGAAAAACTTCCAGGGACTTTCTCCAAGATGTTTGTGAGGGAAGGTGTGGTTCATGCTGTAGATGCACTTATTTTAGTTGGGTCATCCAATATTCCTCCTTCCCAACCATCTTCCAATGAAAAAGATAATGATTCTATACCTGGATCATCATCACGTAGACGGTATCGGCGACGCAGTGGTAACTCAAATGCAGATTTAAACTCTAGTGAAGATTCAAAAAATCCAGTTCCGGTTATTGGTTCACCTCCAAGCTCAGTAGAGATTCCAACCAGCAACTCTAGTCTTCGTATGGCAGTCAGTGCATGTGCCAAAGTTTTCAAAGAAAAATACTTCCCTTCGGATCCTGGGGCCACTGAAGTTGGAGTTACAGATGATCTTCTACATTTAAAGAATCTCTGCATGAAGTTGAATGCTGGCACTGATGATCAAAAGACTAAGTTGAAGGGGAAGTCTAAAGCTTCTGGGTCTCGCTTTGCAGAGTTTTCTGCTAGTAAAGAGGAGAACTTAGTCGAGGTGATATCTGAGATGCTTGCAGAGCTAAGCAAGGGGGGTGGTGTGTCCACTTTTGAGTTCATCGGGAGTGGAGTTGTGGCTGCTTTACTAAACTACTTTTCTTGTGGATACTTCTCCAAGGAGAGAATTTCGGAAGCTAACCTTCCCAAGCTTCGCCAGCAAGCAATCAGAAGATACAAGGCTTTTATTGCGGTTGCTCTCCCTTCTACTGTTGATGAAGGTAGTGTGGCTCCTATCAGTGTCCTAGTTCAGAAGCTTCAAAATGCTTTGTCGTCCTTGGAGCGCTTTCCTGTTGTGCTGAGCCATACTTCTCGACCATCTAGTGGAAATGCACGTCTCTCTTCTGGTCTGAGTGCATTGTCCCAGCCATTTAAGTTGCGTCTATGTAGAGCCCAAGGGGAAAAATCACTGCGTGATTATTCTTCTAATGTTGTATTAATTGATCCATTGGCAAGTTTAGCAGCTGTAGAAGATTTCCTTTGGCTCCGAGTCCAAAGAAGCGAGTCTGGACAGAAGCCCTCTGCATCTGTAGGAAACTCTGAATCTGGGACCACACTTACCGGAGCTGGTGCTTCATCACCTTCTACTTGTACTCCTGCTTCCGCCACTCGTCGCCAATCTACTAGATCCAGATCATCTGTTAATATTGGAGATACAGCCAAAAAGGAATCTTCACAAGAGAAAAATGCTAGCTCATCAAAAGGGAAGGGGAAGGGGAAGGCTATTTTGACGCCTTCTCAGGAGGAGGCAAGAGGACCTCAAACAAGAAATGCTGCCCGTAGAAGAGCAGCTCTGGATAAAGATGCGCAAATGAAGACTGTAAATGGAGACACAAGTTCTGAGGTACACTGTAAATGCTTTTCATTATGAACTTAGGCATCTTTTATTCAGTTGAGTGGCTTGAGCCATACTTTTGTTCACTTTGTCAAAATGCATCTGGATGATGAGTGCACCATGAATTTGCCTCTCTTGTAGCTCTGGTGGGTTGCAAATGCAGCTGAATCATTGCTTCATGGTTATTATTTTTGCAAGTTTTAGACGTCAATTGATTCAAAGCTTCTTCTTTGTTGTTTTCATTGGCTTAGTTGATGCCACACTTTATTAAGGTGCATATCAATGGATAGTAGTAGTCTAGGTGCAAATGACAATAAAGTGTTGCTGGTTGAAGTTGGTGCTCCCTTTTTTGGGTTGGTTTTGGGGTGGTGGGTGGGTGAAAGTGGTGAGGGCGTCTCTAAGCTCTTGAGAAGTTCCTCTTGAGATATGAGATTCATTTGTAATGTGGATGATGGAGATTGCCAGAGATTTTGTTGTGTGCTAGTTCATAATATATATATATGATTGATTCAATTTTTTTGTTGGAAGTGGTGCATCCAATTAGGTACTTTATGCAAAAGGGACATAGTTGAGACTCTAGATCACCTTATGACTATCTATGACTTTCCCATGAAATTTTGGTGGTATTATATTTGTTGGTCTCTGATTGGGTGTTGGCAGCATCATTGCAGAGTTTTAAGTGGGTTTTGTGTAGGTGATCACTAAGTGAAAAGATGTTCTATAGGCTTTAGTTTTTGGTTGTTTCCTGCTTTATGATTTTCTCCCTCTGCTTATTCTCCCACCCCAATCTATGGCAGCAACCAAAGGGAAAACCTTTTGCATAAAAATACCGTCTCATTTTTGAGTTGGCGGTCATTTGTATCGATTTGTATATTTAGCTATCTTTTTAGTCTTTTCGTTGATGATTGGTTCTTCAAAAAATTGATGAATTTGATTTTGTATCTTTCCAACATCCTAGAGCATCTTTTTCTATGAAGCACAAACACTTATGAGATGGTCTCATGTTCATATTGAACATGTGTTGGGTACTCATCGGACACTCCCAAATATGTGTCAGACATGCGTCAAACGTGTCATGTTCATGTTCATTTTTACTTTTATTTATTTTTAGAATCAGGACTTCAATTATTTGGGGAACACACGTGACATGTACACTTCTTAGATACACATGAAACACATCGCAAAATTTGAAAAAAATAACTTGGCATTCATTGTGGGGTTGCATAAAGGTCAGCTTTAAGCCCTTATTTGCCTTAGTCATGGATGAATTAACTAAATACATTCAGGATGATTTCCCATTGTGTATGTTGTTTGCTGATGATATCATTCTAGTGATGAAACTAATGAAGGAGTTAATAGTAGATCAAAAATCTGGAGAGTATTCAAGTCAAATTCCAAGTGGTTGGCCCGATGGTTAGTCATTTGGCCCTTGGTATCTCATGAAACATTAGGTCAGAGGTTCAACTCCATTGAGTACTATCAATTCTTCAGGGGCCATGTCCACAGGCATAGCTCGAGATTTGCCCGATCTGTATAGAGTGGGTGCTTTGTGTTGGCCTCATTAGTTACGATTTTACCTTGTGTAAGGTTAGAGAGATGGTTAGAGAGACAAAACTATGTTAATGGTCCAACAATGGTGGAAGTGGCTGGAGAATAAGTAACAGCAACTATTTGGGAGTTGGAGAGTGTGTAGCTGGGTGAGGGTGAAGCAAGTGGCTCAAGAAGAAATGTATGGCAATACCAAAATTGAATGATATATTCATATATATAACATATAATAAATATATAAAATTATATATTTCATGCGTGTCCTCCACGTGTCGTGTCCTACATTTTTTTAAAATTAACGTGTCGGCGTGTCCGTATCGTATTCGTGTCGTGTCACGTGTCCGTGTCCATGCTTCTTAGTGTATGGCAATACCAAAATGGACAGCATCTCCCTAAATCCCCCAAAATTCCTCTTCTTGAATCTTGGGTAATAGGTCTTATTTATAGGCTTTTTCTTGGTGCTAAGAGGACACCACGTGGCCAAATAGAGAGAAGATGTGTCCCAAAGGATCACATGGAATATTTTGCCTTGAGTCACCAGGCTGAAGGTGCCACGTGTCCCTCTGCATGTACCGTGTACTATTTGTTTGCCTCCGCAACTACCTTTTTGAGCCTCAGCAAGTGTAGTTGCGACCGGAGTGTTTGGCGCTGCAACTCTCTTTTGAGCCTCAGCAAGTGCAGTTGCAGCGGGAGTGTTTGTCTCTACACTTGCCTTTTCAGCCTGAACCTCAGCAAGTGCACTTGCAGCGGTGAACCTCGCCGCTACACTTGCCTTCTCAGTTCTATTTAGCCAGTACACGTATTCTCAGGACTCCATTAGCCTGCTATCGGCTATGTTTGTGCTCACCTCAGCGAAGCCTCCACCCTTAGCCACCTAACCACAAACTCCCCAGCTTCCCAGGGCAAAGGCCACAACCAAGCCTGCTATCAGCCATGCTGTGCCTTAGTACCAAGCCCAAGGGGGCTTCCTTAGTCCTGCCTATGCGACTAAGGCAGGTCCATGACCTGGTTAATGGAAAGGGAGTCCCTTATGCTCGGGCTACCCTTCTCCCATTTTTGCGGGATCGCCGCAGTAAACTGGTATCTCTAAGCCTACTATCAATTCCAACCAATAAGTCTTGGGGCTTGCTATTAGCGCCAAATTAAATGAACTTTGGGGCCTACTATCAGCACCAAGCATTAGCCTCTACTTGCAGAGGGAAACGTCTCTCAAAGGCTGCTATCACCTTGGTAGGATATTCCCTCTACAACTTAGTTGCTACGAGTGTAGTTGCTGCGGTAACCATTTCCGCGGCGAGTGCAGACGACAGGACCGACAATATTAGAGAGGTGGCGCCGACAGAATGCCTTCGCAGCTTGGGCGCTGCAAGAACTGCCTCTGCAACTTAGTTGCTTCGGTTTTCTCCTTTTCTCACCAACTCCAGATGGCTGTGGTACCAACATTACTTGAAATGGCGGTGCTGGGACGAAGTGCCTCCGTAACTTGGTCATCGCAAGTGTTGCCTTGACAACTTAGTTGCGTCGGCTTTTTCTTTCCCTCAGCGACTTCGGATGGCGATGAAACGAAGATATTAGGAATGGCGACGCTGAGGCAAAGTGCTTTGCGTCAGCAACTTTTTCGCTGCATGTGTTGCCTCTACAACTTGACTTAGGCATTTTCCTTCATGGAGCCCATTTGGATCCTTGGCGGGTCGGACATGCTTCGGCCCTCTATTGGTCCACTTCCCTTGGGTTTTAGCCCATGCTCCCTTTTTTCATTCCTGGTTGCCTCTTTGGGGCGACCTCATACTTAGGCCCATACTTAATTTGAGGCTTAATTTCTAACCCTCTACACCTTGATACTCGATTATAAAAAAAAGGAGCACTCGACTCAAAATGGTTTAAAATTAGTAGAAAAAATTGAATATATAGAATGCAGCTCTAGTAATAGTAGATGTGGAAATAATGGAGACGTCACATGTGAAGATTGAAAACTAGGAGATAACAAATATTGAATATTTTTGTTACTTAGGAATACCAACAAAATTGAAAGGAAAATTTTATAGAATAGCTATAAGGCCAACGATGCTTTATAGGACAAAGTGTTGGGTAACTAAAAAACTACATGTGCATAAAATGAGTCTAGTTGAGATGAGAATGTTTAGATGGATGTGTGGTAAGACTAGAAAAGATAGACTTAGAAATGCAAAATTTGTGAAATGGAATGAGTTTATTGAAAATAAATTGAGAGAGAATAAGTTAAGATAGTTTGGTTATATTATACAACAAAGACTTATAGATGCAATGATAAGGAAGAGTGATAGAATCACTATAAATGGATATGCTAGGGGAAAGGTAAGGCCTAAGTTGACATGGAATGCAGTAATGAGAAAAAATATGAATTTATTTAATTTAACTAAGCATATTGCCCTTAATAGAGTTGAATGGTGAAAAATGATTGATGTAGCCAACCCCACTTGATTGGGACACAAGACTTAGTTTGGTTTAGTTTGATTTTGTTGGTAATCGAAAGCATGCACATTTTTTTCATAGAGTTGAATGGAAATTACAAAGTTTTGTTTATGAATAAAGCTAAATAGATGGTAGAACATTGTTCACACTTCTTTTCTTTGCCAACATAAATGATTTCTTACTATTTTGATATAATCAAATATAAATATATTTGTACTGTAAAAATGAAATAACAGTTGTTTTGTCATGCATACTATAAAATATAGGGCAAATTACATACACCCCCCTTGAGGTTTGGTTAAATTACAGATACCCCCTGAGGTTTCGGAAATTACATCACGCCCCCTGAGGTTTATATTCATGTAACAATTGGACCCCTGCCGTCAACTAAGCCGTTACAAAAGTGTGCTAACATCACCAAAATTTATGTTGATGGACCATATTACCCTTAGAACCTTTCAAAATGCCAAACAACCCCCTTTATTTATTTATTAATTTTTAAACACAACCAGACAACCTGTACCAAAGCACAAAGGACTTTTTATTTTTTATTTTATTTTCGTTGAACACAACCATTTGGTTTGTTGTTTTAAAAAAAATTCAAACTTTTTATAAAAAAAATAAAAACTAATCTAATAAAAATAAATATAAAGAAATATATTTAATTTGTAAAAAATTATTTCTAACAACTACAAAGATAAAATTATATACAAATGATAATTATTTTTTATTTTTTATTTTTTATTTCTTAACCAAATTAATTTTTATTTTTTAAAAAAAATTTAAAAAAAAAATTTCTAAAAATCAAACTATACATGGCCTAAATTTTTTTTGATAAATCATTTCGTACGTTAGTAACTTATTTTATTATTTGTTAATTTTACGACATTTTTAACATCTGATAAATGTTTCTCCATTTTAATTTTGCATTCCATAAATTATTAAATTAATTAATTTTGTATTCGCAACTTATTCAGTTAATTTGTTATTTTTTGAGTTTTTTTTGGGGTGAATAGTTATGTTTTGGGTAATAAATAAATACCATGGAATCCTCTTCAACATAGAAGGAATGAAAAAAGAGCACTCAAGTAGCTTGAAATTGAAATATTAACTTAAAAATTCAGATACACAAGTCTGAAATACTAACTTAATCACATATTCATGTCCAACAAAATTAATTACAAGTCTGAAATATTCATGTCCACCAAAATACAAGTCTGAAATATTTACTTAATTACATTACATATTTAGATACAAATTCTTGTCCAACAAAAACTTTCCAAGTTAATAAAAGAGTAGTAGCCCACCTAATTCAAAAACCTGTGGTGAGCAAGGATGCATGTCTTCTAATATGTACTAATATGAAGACAATGTTAGAAAAGTATACCCACTAATTACACAAAAAAGTATACCCTAGTCTTTAGTTCCTTCCAGCATCCCCTATACAAAAAGCAATTCCTGGACAAAAACATCACCTGAAAAATAAAAAAACAAAGAACACATTAATAAACACAAATGAATATATTTTAAGTGTTATGCATGATGCAAAACAAAGAACACATTAATAAACACAAATGAATATATTTTAAGTGTTATACATGATGCAATTGCATGCATACCTATGGTTGAAGTCAGTCATGCTCCACTGAGTTGGAAGCACCCCATCTTGTCCTTGATCCTAAAAAATGAAGTGGATTAGTTGGCCTCAAATTCCATGTGAAAAAATAAAATAAAATAGCATAATTATTTGTCATTCATACTTACATCAACAGTGCTCCTCTTAGTAGCTGTGAACCTTCCAATAGTACTCCTTTCAACAACAGTACCAATTCCTCTTTGAGCAGACTCATTTGTTCCCATTTCCCTACCCCTAATAGGTGCCCTCTGGCATGTCCTCTTATTGTGCCCAATCCCTTTGCAAATGATGCACTTCACAGTGCATGATCTTTTTGATGGTGCAGCCTCATCAACTTCTCTTCTCCTACTTTTTCTAGGTCTTCCAGGCATCCTCTTAAGAGGTGGAGGCTTCAATTCATCTCCAAGAACTGGACCCCATAAACTCTCATCATGCATTGGATGTATAATTTCCCCATACGCCTTAAAATAAATGTGTTTGTAGTACATTGTGTCACAATAGGTCTCCAAGTTTATCCTTTTATGAGTAATGCAAGCTGTTGCATGCTTGCAAGGGACTCCACTTATGTCCCATATCCTGCAACAACATGACCTTCTTTGTAGGTTTACAATATAAGACACCACACCTTCAACCACTTGATACTCTTCTTGTCCTGCAAAAGTCACTTTACAAAGTCTAGATTGAAGAACCACTTCTTCCAATTTCTTCTTAATGTTAGGGGTTACCAAAGATTGCCATGAAGTTGCCTCTTCAAACCTCTTATGTAACTTGTTCATCAGTTTCAATCTGATATTTTCCAACAATGTCAAGATAGGTTTACCCCTAACATTACCAATCCAATTATTAAATGACTCAACCATGTTGCTAGTAACATGTTCACTCTTCACCCTATGATCAAATGTGTGTCTTGCCCATATTTCAACTGGAAATTTAGAAAGCCAGCTATGTGCTTCAGAAGATAACTCCAACATCTGTCCCATTGCAATGTTAAAATCCTTGACAGTGTAAGCTTTAGCTGCAGCCCAAAAGGCTCTTTTGATCTTTAAACCAGGGAATTTGCCCTTCAAGTTGCTGAAAATGTGTCTACAGCACCTCCTATGTGTTGCTTGGGGTATTACTTGTCTCATGGCTGGCTCAATGCCCTTTTGACCATCAGACATGATTGTCAATGGCATGTTTTGGGGGCCATTACCAAAAATGGTGTTCAAGTGGTAAAGGAAAAAGGCCCAACTATCCTTACATTCACTCTCCACCACACCAATTGCAATAGGATAAAGACCATTATTTCCATTAAGACCAACTGCAGCTAACAATATGCCCCCAAATGGTCCCTTCAAATGACACCCATCCATAGCTATGAAAGGTCTGCAACCTTCTTTAAAGCCATGTTGTATGGCTGCAAATGAAAGAAAAATTCTTTTGAATGTTGGTAAGGGAGGAGGTAAGTTTGGCTTAGATGGTGGCTTTCTTTCCCTTTCAATTTTGACCAAACTACCAGGATTAGTCCTCAACACTTCTGCAGCATACATTGGAAGTTTGGTGTAAGCCTCTGCATGATTACCCTCAATTGCCTCCATGGCTTTCCTCTTTCCTCTGTACAGTTGCATCCTTGTAGTCTCCAATCCATAATTTTCTGCCATTTCATCATGCATTGCCTCTAAAGTGATCCAAGGATTCCCTCTAAGAGTTTTTTTAAACTTCTTAGCAATCCAAGATGGTGTTGCTTCAGTATTCCTTTCTACTCTAACGCATGTATGGTCGGGGCCCAATGTCTTAATCTTATATGTCACCCCATCAGGTAATGGAGAAGCATGAATTCTTCATTCACACATCGAGGAAGCACATATGCAAGTCACTCTTTTCTTGTCATTTTTTATTTTAATCAATTTAACACCTCTTTCAATTGCAAATTCCTGGAGCACAGTCCTGAAATGATACACATCATCAAATATCATTCCCTCCTCCAATGTTATTTTCTCCCCTTTCTCTATTTCAAACATTTTCCCCCTCATATATCTGTCAACATTAACACCTTGCACATCTTCTTCATCAGTCGAATATTTCCCTCCTATATCATCAGATTCATAATCTGATAGCCCCTCATCATTAGCCTCAATTGGTTTATCTGACCCATTGCTACCCTCATCATTATCTGAAGTGTCCTCATTATCCTCATCACTAATGATATAAGCATTTTCTTCATCAGCATTTGCTTCACTAAATTCAAAATCCCCTAACTCAGTCCAATCAACATCATTGTAGTCATCCACATTGCTAAATAAATCATCAGATACTACCAATCTATTTCCAATGTTACTAACCACACCACCTCTTGTACTTGTGCCACTACTACTCACGTGTCCATCTCCACTAGTAGGAGTATCAGTTACGACAAATGAAGGTAAAAGTCGATCAAGTTCCAGAAAAATATTAATCACCTTAGTACCATAATTTGAACTAAACATTTCAATGACATCCTGATCAGATTTAACCTCTATCTTACTCTTAGTGTGTGTGTTTGTAAAGTACAAATTTAATCCCACACCAAAATTCCCAGGTACATTAGTGAGTGCAGCTTCACAAGCATCAGCCAACAATTGCATGTAGTTATACTTGTAAGGATTAACATTCAAAATGTGACTTACAGAACCATTAAAGTGTACTAGTATGTCATGAAGCATGCGATCAACCATTGTCCTAAATACAAAAAAATCATCACAAAATTCATGAATATCAGAAGGCATCTACATAACAAGCTTACATTACATCAAATTTTAGTAAATAAAAGAGTAGAAAATAAACCAAAAAAACCCACCTAAACCGAAATTTTAGTAAAACAAAGAGTAGAAAACAAACCAAATAAATTCCCAAAAATACTAATTGAAACAGACCCAAAATTTTAGTAAAAGTAAGAGTAGAAAACAAATATAAAAAATTAAAAAAAAAATTCCCTAAAATACTAATTGAAAACAAACCCTATAACCCCAAAATTTTAATTAAAAAAAAGGTAGGAAGAAACCCAAAAAAAAAAAGCCCTAAAATAGATTAAAAACAAATCTTTAAACCCTAATTTTTTTTTGAACAGGGTAAAATACAAACCCAAAAAAATCGATTAAAGACACAAAATTTCTTAAACAAATAATCCTAAAACAAATTTTATAAAAAAAAAAAAAAATCATGAACAAAGAATCCTAAACCCCCAAATTTCAATGCTTAGTATGAGAGAGTAAAAATGGATCACTTACAAATTTCAGATTTTTCTTCAATCAACGATCTAAACTTCTTTTTGTGGTCTTTTCTTCTTTTAGATCTATGCATCCAACAATAATCAACAATACTCTCACTTTCCCCTTTGCAATGGCCTTTCCGTCTCTCTCTCAGATAAAGATCTCACTTTCCTCTTTGCAATGCCTTTTCCGTCTCTTTCCCAGATAAAGAAATAAAGAAATGAAGAAAGTGGAAGTTGAACCTGGTTCAAAAAAAAAGAAGTTTAATTGTTTTTAGTATAAAATGCAAGTATTGACTTGACATGAGGGCATTTTAGTCAATTTATTGTATGGGTTAACGGAGTTAATTGTCAGGGGGCGGGATGTAATTTTCAAAACCTCAGGGGGGTATTTGTAATTTATCTAAACCTCAAGGGGGTATATGTAATTTGCCCTAAAATATATAGGGTCAATTACATTGACTGCCCACCAACTTCCCTTCAAACGGAATTAATGGAGGTGATAGAAATGACTTTTTACTCTAGATATTTTGTATTTCAAATGTTAGGCTTGACATTATTGTCAAATGGCACAATTGTCCTAAATTGGTGAATTCACTCATTACCTCACCTTCTTTCTTTTCCTCGATTCTCCAACCATCCCCGCTCCACTGGGCCACCACCACTCACCACCACTACGACCTTCCACACTCTCTCTTCTCTCCCTCTTTAATCTCTCTCCCCACCAGTGTTATTAAAGGCGATAGGCGCCAAGGTCTCTTGGGGCTTTTTTGTTTTTAATGAATATTTTTAAAATTTTAAACATTTTTTTTTACTTTTTAGATGCACCTTACTTAGATGTGTATCTAAAAAGTAAAAAATTTGTGAAAAAATATTTTAAAAAATTAATAAATACATAAAAATATAAAAAATGTATTGAATTCTCGTATTTTTTTTGTATTTTTAGTATTTAGTGAATTTTTATAAGGTTTTTTTCACAATTTTTTTACTTTTTAGATATATTTATGTTAGGTATATCTAAAAAGTAAAAAAACTACTTAAAATTTTAAAAAAATTCAGTAAAAACAAAAAAATACGGAAAATAAGAAAGTAAGATTTTCTGAAAAGTGTTTTTGGAAAAGTGTAACCAAGCAAAGTGATATAAGTAAATAATTTAGGATTCAACATAAACAAAATGAAATGTCAAACATTTAGTGTTTTTTGGAGATTAGGAATTAGGGATAATTTTTCTTCTATCATTGATTTGGAGTTGAATGCTCAATGTATTAGCATCTATAATAAGAGTAGGGATTTTCTATAACTGCACCATATTAAATCAATGGTTAGATTTAAACAAAATCAATTAAAGCAATAATAAAAAAAACCCTCAAGACGCAAACCTTGGGCCAATCAGACTCCTTATCGTAGTCGTCTAGCTTGGAACAATATAAGACACAAACCTTGGGCCTAGGTGCACGCCTAGGCGTGTCTTATCGAAGTCGCCTGGCCTGGAATACTTCAAGGCGCAAACCTTGGGCCTGAATGGGACTTGGGCCTAGGTACACTCCTAGGCGCGCCTTTAATAACACTACTCCCCACCACCACGTCACCCCTCTCATCTCCCTCAATTGATTGCCGCCTAGTGAGGGGATTCATAGTGAGGGGATTCATAGTGAGGGGATTAGTAGTGGGGAATTGTTAAATTATTTTTATATAAAATAATAAAACAAATAAAAAAATATAAAAAATTAAAAATTATATTTTTAAAAAAATTTCCAATATATAAAAAATAAAAAAAATAAAAAAATTTCTAATTACATTCATGCATTTTTTAGCCCTGCTCCAAACTCAATGACTTCTTTAGTATCTACAAATACACACTACACAAAATTAAGGTTTTAGAGACAAAATAGGGACAAAATTACTTTTTAGTGGTATTAGTAATACCAAGGTATTAGTTAGTCCCAAGGTATTAATAGTCCCTAGGCTATCTCTCAAAACAAACACCCCATATACTAATCCCAAGGTACTAGTAATCCTAATCCCCTTGCTATAACCCAAAACAAACGGGGCCTTAGGATTCAACATAAACAAAATGAAATGTCAAACATTTAGTGTTTTTTGGAGATTAGGAATTAGGGATAATTTTTCTTCTATCATTGATTTGGAGTTGAATGCGCAATGTATTAGCATCTGTAATAAGAGTAGGGATTTTTTATAACTGCACCATATTAAGGCCAAGTTTGGGAAGACTAAATAAGTACACTTTTTGTCTTTTTGGACTAAAAAATTGAGATTGAAAATATGGATGTTTGGGTTAACTTTTTGACTTTTTATGAAAAAATGTGTAATAAAAAATTGTAAAAATTGGTTTGTAGAGGAAAATTTGAATTGGGAGTTGTGCAGCCGTAATTGTTGACTTTTGGTGAATAGTGTTAACTTTTTAACTTTTTGAGTAACTTTTTGGCTTTTTGGCTTATTTGGGACTTCCCAAACTTAGCCTAAATCAATGGTTAGATTTAAACAAAATCAATTAAAGCAATAATAAAAAAAACCCTCAAGACGCAAACCTTGGGTCAATCAGACTCCTTATCATAGTCGTCTAGCTTGGAACAATATAAGACACAAACCTTGGGCCTAGGTGCACGCCTAGGCGTGTCTTATCGAAGTCGCCTGGCCTGGAATACTTCAAGGCGCAAACCTTGGGCCTGAATGGGACTTGGGCCTAGGTACACTCCTAGGCGCGCCTTTAATAACACTACTCCCCACCACCACGTCACCCCTCTCATCTCCCTCAATTGATTGCCGCCTACTACCACCTCCATCACTCTCTTTTCCATAAATAAAGACTCCTCAACAATTGAGATGTCAATTCTTAACAATTGATGTCAATTCTTTTTGCAGATGATATCGTGTTAGTGGATGAGACTAGAGAAGGAGTTAATACTAAGTTGCAAACGTAGAGAGAAGCACTTGAATCTAAAAGAGTTAGGATAAGAAGAACTAAGACAGAGTACATGGAGTGTAATTTTAATAACAGTAACAATGGAAGTAGAGGAGAAGTGAAGATTGAGAATTAAGAATTGTTTAAGAGTGAATATTTTCGTTATTTAGGATTAATTATCACAATGGTTGGGGAGATTGGAGCGGATGTGGTCCATAGAATTAAGGCAGGGTGGCTTAAGTGGAGGAGGGTCTAGGGTACTGTGTGATAAATGAGTACCCACTAGATTAAAAGGAAAGTTTTATAGAACGGCTATTAGACTAGCGATGTTGTGTATGGGACGGAATGTTGGGTAACTAAGAAACAACATGTAAATAAGATGAGTGCTGCTGAGATGAAGATGCTAAGGTGGATGTATGGCAAGACTAGAAAAGACAAAATTAAAAATGAGTATATTTGTGAATGGGTAACAGTAGCGCTGATAAAAGATAAAGTTAAGAGAGAATAGATTGAGATAACTTGGTCATATACAACGGAGGCCAACAGATGAAAGTGACGGTAGATAGATGTGATATATAGTAGTGAAGAGATGTGATACAGTGACGGTAGATGGAAATGTTAGAAGAAGATGTAGACCTAAATTGACGTGGGCGAGTGTATTAAATAGAGATATGACTCCTTAATTTGACTAATCAAATGGCCGTTGATAGAGTCGAATGGAGAAGAAAGATTCATGTAGCCGATCCCATTTGATGGCACTTAAGACTTGGTTTGGTTTGGTTATTTTGTAGGACTCATTATTCCAGTCAACCATTGGTTACCTGATTTAGACCTAGATCTGCTGAAGGTTAGTATCTTTGTAACTTGCAGGTAGATCTGTAGGAGTGATTTCACTAGTCGAGCTGCTTAGATTTTGTGTCTGTGACTTCTTGAATTGATAAATTTAAGTTCATAAATAAGATAACTGATATGAACTGTGGATCTGGGCTTCCCCAATGCCATAAGAGTTGATTTTATTGGTCTCACATAGTTATGATGAACTATTTAATTGTCATCCCCTATTTTTTCATGCAGTCTGACACATGCACAGAGTTAACATTACAGAAAGAGATCTTACCATTTATTATTTCTATTATTATAATCCTGTTAGCCATTTCATACAAACTTACCATGTCATAATGTGTAGGATGAGGAGCTGGACATATCTCCTGTTGAGATTGATGACGCGTTGGTGATTGATGATGATGATATCTCAGATGAAGACGAAGATGACCATGATGATGTATGTCACTTGATTTCTTTTTGTTATAATCTTGCATTTATCCATCTTCCTAGACTTGAGCAATGTTGGAATGAATTAATGTGCTATTTGGTTTGTTTTGTTAGCAGATTGAGAGTTATTTTCATGCCTTTAAGAACAAGAATCAACGAATTTTGCCTATGGTAGTCATAGTAATGTCAAATAACAATTGCTAAATTGGTTAGCACTTTTTGCATCCTAAATGGAAGAGATCCCTAAAATTAAGATAAAAGCTGAAGTGTTAATGACTGATTTTTTTTTTGTTGTTAACCAACCAACGCTATGTATGGATAATGTGGAGAGATAGTAATTGCAGGTGTGAATTGTTTGTTTTATGTTTGCAAGGGTGACTGTAAATTGCTTGGTTCATGTTTGGCAATAGTGATCCATGCCTCAATTAGAATCACTTGTCTAGCCATTATGATCTGGAAGATGAATTGTACAATCGGCTACTTCCTCTGGGGTTTCATTCATCTTTGTCCTCACAAATTATGTGCTTGTCAATTTGCAGGTACTGGGAGATGATTCTCTTCCTGTTTGCATGGCAGATAGAGTACATGATGTTAAATTAGGTGATTCAGCTGATGATAGTCCTGTTGCCCCTGCAACCAGTGATAGCCAGACCAACCCAGCTTCTGGTTCTAGTAGCAGGGCTGCTACAGTTAGGGCTTCAGACTCTACAGAGTTTAGGAGTGGGAACTCCTTTGGTTCAAGGGGTGCAATGTCATTTGCTGCTGCCGCCATGGCTGGGCTTGCATCTACAAATGGTAGAGGTATCAGGGGAGGCAGAGATCGGCATGGACGCCATCTGTTTGGTTCTAACGACCCTCCTAGACTAATATTTTGTGCAGGTGGGAAGCAGCTTAACAGGCACTTGACTATCTATCAGGCTATCCAACGTCAGCTTGTGCTAGATGAAGATGATGAGGAGAGGTATACTGGCAATGATTTTGTGGCCAGTGATGGAAGTAGGCTTTGGAGTGATGTTTATACCGTAACATATCAAAGAGCAGACAGCCAGACTGATAGGGGTTCAGTTGGAGCATTGAATTCTACAACCACATCTAAATCAACCAAGGCCGGGTCTATGTCGAATTCCAACACTGATTTGTCATTGCAACGAATGTCGCTTCTTGATAGTATTTTGCAGGGGGAGCTTCCTTGTGATCTGGAAAAAAATAATTCTACTTACAATATATTAGCACTGTTGCGTGTATTAGAGTGTTTGAATCAGCTTGCACCCCGATTGAGAGTCCAGGCAGTGACTGACAGTTTTGCCGAAGAGAAGATTTTGAGTCTGGATGAGCTGAGTGTTACCGGTATCAAGGTTCCTCCCGAGGAATTTATTAATACTAAGCTCACTCCAAAATTGGCTCGACAAATCCAGGATGCCCTTGCACTTTGCAGTGGAAGTCTTCCGTCATGGTGTTACCAGTTGACTAAAGCATGTCCATTCTTGTTTCCTTTTGAGACTCGGCGTCAGTATTTCTATTCTACCGCTTTTGGGTTGTCACGGGCTTTATATCGGCTTCAGCAGCAGCAGGGCGCAGATGGTCAAGGATCAACCAACGAAAGAGAGGTTAGGGTTGGGAGGTTACAGCGCCAGAAAGTGCGTGTCTCCCGTAATCGTATTCTGGATTCGGCTGCAAAAGTTATGGAGATGTATTCAAGCCAAAGGGCTGTTCTTGAAGTAGAATATTTTGGTGAAGTTGGCACTGGATTGGGACCTACTTTGGAGTTCTACACCCTTTTAAGTCATGATTTACAGAAAATTGGACTTGGAATGTGGAGGTCAAATTCTTCTTCTGACAAATCTTCAATGGAGGTTGATGGAGATGAACAAAAAAAGGGGAAGATCAGTAATGGTGGTAGTGATCTTGTCCAAGCTCCTCTTGGATTGTTCCCTCGTCCTTGGCCCCCTAGTGCTGATGCTTCGGATGGTAGCCAATTTTTCAAAGTTGTTGAATATTTCCGGCTAGTTGGTCGTGTGATGGCCAAAGCTCTTCAAGATGGGCGACTTCTGGACCTGCCAATGTCAACAGCATTTTATAAGCTTGTGCTTGGTCAGGTGTGCCAACTGTATACTTGTTTTTATTCAGATTGAAATGTTGCCCCTTTATCCATTGAAAATGCCATATTGTTTCTCTTTCGATCTACACATTGAACCTTCTCTATTTCATTGCAGGAGCTTGATTTGCATGACATTCTTTCTTTTGATGCTGAAATTGGGAGGACTTTGCTAGAATTGCAAGCCATTGTTTGCCGGAAAAAATATCTTGAATCAGTGATTGGTCACAATTGTGAAGATATTGCTGGCTTACATTTTCGTGGGTCTCCAATTGAAGATCTTTGTTTGGATTTCACCCTTCCTGGTTATCCAGATTACGCTCTGAAACCAGGCGAAGATAATGTACTTCACATTCCTGTTGAATATATCTTTATATTTTGCAGTCTTTTATTTTGTTTTTTGGTTCACGACGATATTTCTTAATTAAGTTCTTGCTTTGGTGTACTTTTTAGGTGAATATTAATAACTTGGAGTTGTACATATCCTTAGTGGTTGATGCTACTGTTAAGACTGGAATTACGAGGCAAATGGAAGCATTTAGAGCTGGGTTTAATCAAGTCAGCAACTTCCTCTTGGCTTAATGGAATTTCATAGTATTTTGAAAGATGTCTTTCATGCAGTGTTTCTTTTATGCTGGGATTGGTCAATATCACTTTTTTGCTTTTATATGTTAGCATTACCATGTTTTCTTGATATATTATTTGTGGAACTAACTTGTTCCTGTATATTCTTGCTTATCTATCTATTTTTTAGTATTGAAACTTATATTTTTGCCATGTAACTATCAGGTCTTTGACATCTCGACTCTACAAATATTTTCCCCACATGAATTGGACTATCTGCTTTGTGGCCGTAGAGAGCTGTGGGAGGTAAATTTAGTGTCATTTCTTTGCAACAGAGCATAATTAAGACCCGTATTTATTAGTACTTGCATGGTTAATGCTAAATTTTTTGTATTTTTTTTTGTATTTTTTTTTGACAGGCTGAAACACTCGTAGATCATATAAAATTTGATCATGGATACACTGCCAAGAGCCCTGCTATTGTTAATGTACTTTTCCTCCAACTTTAATATAGATTTAGAATGTTGTTTTTGGTATAGTTCCTTCGGATTCTCACACTATTCATATGGGTTCTTATGGTTATGTTCTTAGTTGCTTGAGATTATGGGAGAGTTCACCCCAGAGCAGCAACGGGCTTTCTGTCAGTTTGTCACTGGTGCACCTCGGCTCCCACCTGGTGGTTTGGCAGTGCTGAATCCGAAATTGACAATTGTGAGAAAGGTATATAATAACTACACAACTGTCTTCAAGGGCTGTATTGATTCTACTTTGCTTTCATTTCATTCTTGTCTTGTTCATAGCGTTTTAACAGTTTACATGCCTGGATACAGCTTTCTGCAACAACTGGAAACACAATGGCCAATGGGACCGGATTATTAGAATCTGCGGATGATGACTTGCCGAGTGTAATGACATGTGCTAATTATCTCAAGCTTCCTCCCTACTCTACCAAGGTATATTACAGTGTTACCAGAAAACACATACCCTAGCAATTTTTGTTTTAAAATGCATGTTCCAAAACATGGTACACTTTTGGTCCAAAACAGCGAATTTAGCAATCCAAAGTGATTCCAAAATATTTTCTAATATGAACCTTAAAAGTTACCTTAGTTGGAAAAGCAAATAAAAGATTAAAAATCGAAATCTAAGCAGAGTAAAATTTCAGTATGACAAAACGTAAATGTGTTGTAACATGATTAATTTGAAGAAATAAAAGCAACATTTATTGGATATCTAATTGTTAAAAGAAAATTATTCTAAAAGTATTTTAAATTTTAATAGTGTAATCTAAACGAGTCTACCTTTATCATACCACATTTTAGAGAATGTGGCATATCATGTTTCTGATCCCGTTTCATGTACTGAAACAATCCACGTTCCAAGTAACACTTACAATATTTGGAATAATAAGGTACAACTTTTGAGTTTTTTATGATGCAAGTACTAATAAGCGGTTATTCGTCATCTGTTATTAGATGGACAGAAGAATGAAGGAAATGAATAAAACTTGCTGCAAACTGGAAATAGTTGTGTGTGTCATATTTATACCCTTTTACATGCTGACAAATTTTCTTTTCCTGGACAGGAAATTATGTTCAAGAAACTACTCTATGCAATAAGTGAAGGGCAGGGCTCTTTTGATTTGTCATGAGTTGTCAAACCTAACAAATTAATTTGTGGATATTATATGGGAAGAGTTTCGGGTTCATTTCTTTATTGGGCTAATTTTGGTGTTGGAAGTAAGGCTTCTTTTCATGCTCAAATAACAGCTGCTTTTGTTGGTGCCTCTGCATGAAGTAGCTGACATTTTTGAGGTTAGTTTACATATATATATAGATATATTTATATAAATTGTTTTGGATGATTTTTTCTTACCAGTCATTGGAACTTGGAAGTAATTGAGTCTTGCTTTGAAAATGCAGATGGATGTGGCGCCCTTTGTCAAGTGGATGAAGGATCTAGAAGCTTCTATGAAGATTGGAATCGTGGAGCTATTTTCCAATGCAATTGCATGTAAATAGATAGGATTTTGGGATAATTCTTCTTCTCCTCCGCTTATTTCAACTTAAATTTGCTGTTTGAGTATTACATATGCGGGCATGGATTCGGCCCTTGCCTTTCTGCTCATAAATTTAATTGGTGCATCATATTACTGAATATTTTTATCAGAATAATAAAATAGTGTAGAAAGAAAGAAAGAAAGAAAAAAGGTTCAGACCAATTTTCTTTGCACCTGCATTCATATTGCTGAATATTTTTGTCAGAATAATGCATTAGTGTGTAGAAAGATTGGAAAAAAGGTTCAGAGGCCAATTTTCCTTGCACTTGCTTTCTTGTTGGAATGATTTTAGATCTTTCATGTTTAAAATATTACAATGTTTTTCAATCTTCAAACCCTATCACTAACAACTACCCTCCACCACCTCCACACGTTAACGCTGAACATGCCTAACCACTACCTACCACTGTTCCTTTCTATAACCCACAACTCGTTACCTACCCCTTGCCATTCTTCGTCTGTGCCTTCCTTTAAGTTTCCACCGTAATCTCCCTCTTGCATCCCCAAATACCAAGTCAAACACTACAGGTTGCAAGTCCAAAGTCTGCACCCGCAAACCCGAAGTCTTGCACCATATACGGAGGTTGAAAATCAAACTTACTTTATTGTTTTACAGTTAAAAATTGGACTAAATATACAAGTTGGGGCATGATTTGTGAAGGGGTAGTGGCCAATGATTGTTGGTGTTTAAAATCTTGAGTTTTGTCAAATTTGTCATATCATTAAAAGGCAATCATGATCACTAGATACTTTTTAAAATAACAAATCGAACAGTAAAAGATTGATATGGAGTAATATTGAAATCATTGGAATGATATAACTAAAAATGGCATTTTTTTTATCATAACAAGTCAAAAAATTGTTTTCACAAAGTCATTTTGATTTCTACCATTAGAGTTGCTCTAATATGCATTCTATCAAAAAGCCCTTTGGGAGAATGGTTTGTTGGCTAAACTGTGCCATTCAAAATCTTCTTATACATTGTTGAGATCCGCTCTAATATTACTAAGAATTTGTGTAATTCAAAATCTTGTTGCATTCTTATGACAAAATAATATATATTAATCGTCATATTTCCAACTCACAACTGATATCTCATAATAGAAGAGTGCTTGTATTGGAATCACTACAGTACAAATTGTTTTTAGCATATCGAATTCATGGATCTCCGATCATAAAGTGACTCTTTGTACGCTTAGGCCCATTCTCTCGACAAATAAGTATCTAGTCTCATGCTAATCTAGAGACAATAGCAACTTATTAATACATAAATTTTATATGCCTCAATTTAACTATTCTTTAGTTTCTTAAGCCATGTTGTATGTATTAGTAAGATGGGTACAATATCAAAATCTCCGTTAGCACATCACATGTCGCTTTTGCCAATATGTCCTTGTTTAGTAAAAAGGTAAAAGAGGAATGGAATAAAGCTGCAGGAGCCTGTGAATGGGTGTGTCAGGACTAAATATAGTTGGATGACTTCTTCTCAAGAGATCATGTGAAGTATAGGGGTGAAAACCTCTTTGTTTTATGGTTGCCTTAATGCAAAGGACGTAAAATCTCCTAGTCATTTGAAGTGGGAAGGGGACATGACAAGTATGGTGATTGAAACAAGAGCTTAAGTGCATTCAATGGATTGAAATACAATAGTTAGTAAAAACTAAGCTAATTTGGAAATGTAAATGGAAATTACGATAACTAATGAAACTACTAAAACTAAGCTAAGAGACACCGAGCCCCACATTTACAATCTTTTCTGAATGTAAATATTAGCAAGAGGTTGAATATTTCCAATCCATCTACGTCATATTTCTAAAATGTGTAGGGTTACTATATTTATAGGATTCTAGATATCCTTTAATAAACATTAAAATTCCTACGAGATGTTTGGTAGGAATAGATCCAACTTTCTAGTTTAGAAACTGACTTTTAGGTTAGCTAGAGAATGTGAGTTATAATTTTAGTTCAATCATATTAAAAATATAGATGTAAATGGAATATATATTTATATAGAAATAATATTTAGACTTTATTTTTAGCCTCTTACCCTCTATGTGGGTCTAAAAGAAATAATAATAATAATAATAATAAAAGACTGAATATCATTTCTCTATCTATAAATATAAGACATGTGAGTTGAGATTCATATTACTTCAAACCTTACATACTTGAGAGAAGTTAGAAAGCAACACTACGGATTCACAAAATTTCAAGCTCGCCCACATTTCAAAAATAATCTTTATTTATGGATTAATGAGATTTCATTAAGTAATCTTGAGGAGAGGATGAGAACAAAAAATTATAACAAATTTCAAGAAATTCAATGTGAGATTTGAAAACAATGAGCTCAATGTGACTATTGAGATTTCTAGCAGTGAATTTTTAAAATTGAGAACATGTTCTTGAGAGTCTTATATTGATAAAAGGTTGTCCAAATTATAGACTCATAAATTGTAGTAAGACAACCTTAATGATGTTATTATTGTCTCTATAGACAATGGTTCCTTCATTTTATAAATAAAAAATGAAAAAACTGTGAAAGTGATTATTGATCAAGAATGAATGTTCAACCACAAAAGCTCATCTTTACCTCCTTGGGGTTAAGGAGATAATTATATATATATATATATATATATGTATATTTGTATTAGCCACTGAAGTAATTCACAAAACAACAATTTGATCCTCTTAATTTTTTGGTTTTATTTTTTATTTTTGTTATGAAAAGAGTGCTTAACAATGACAAATTGTCAAGAATGTTTAGAGAAGCTATGAAGATAATTTGTATCTCCAATCCAAGGAGTACATCAACCATCATCATCATCATCATCACCACCATAATAATGCCAGTGCATAACATTACCATGAACAAGCACCAAAAAAATGTAAATACAGATCATGGGTAGCTTTTGATTGCTAATGTATACTTGTAAATAAAATTTTAATTGAACTTGAAAGCTCTCATCAGGTATTTATTGACTACAATATCAAGTATGACACATCTTTCAATTTTTCCAACCAATGATCATCATCACAACCAGCTGCTACTACTCCTGATCTGATCTCATATCATCTTCATTAATTTGACTTATTATGGGCACACCTAACTTGGAAAGCTAGAATCTTTGAGATTTCTGGGCATTTGTCATGGCTCTTGTCATCGAAAATCTCACGCTTTAGCGGAATTGCACAGCTATTCTTCCCCAAGCAATACTGCAAAGCACGAAAAATGAACAAAATGAACAAATAACTATCTCTACTTTACCATATGATTGTTGAAAAATTATGCAGTAGTGTGAAATTTACCTCCTCAATGATTTTCTTGCTGTTGGGGGATGTGCAATTTCCCTCACCATAGCTTCCGCAAGCGCCAAATGGATCACCAAAGCTTGCAAAATCTACGACCTTAACGGTTTTTCCGTCAGGACAGGTTATCTTAGCTTCTGATTGAAATTCATCAACCACGGCTTGAACCTTTTCGCCATCCTTCTTCCATGAATTCACTGTGGGTGGGTGGTACTCGGAGATGAAGCTGCAGATGGTGTCTCTGTTGACAGTTACAATCTCCATTCCTTCTGGGTCTCCTCCGGTTTCCTCAATGACAACCAAGAGATTCTTTTCTGGCTTCAGGAAGGATCTTGGAATGTGGTACCTTTAGATGACAAAGCACAATAACCCAATAAATCGAATGGTTCCAATAAAAAAAAAAGGCCCTTTACAGCAAATCTGAGTGTACAACAAAAATGTAAGCATAACTCGATTTGGTGCATTACTTACTCGGATTGAGTGGGCTGCCCAAGAGGAGAGAGGTAACTGACCCAGTAGCGACCAATGCTTTGGCCATTGACCCAAATCATACCTTTTCCCATAGAGGTCATCTTGATAGCCACTGGACTTTTGCCTTCAGGAGCATTGAAGTATGTCTGCATCAAGAAAATCCAATGCCCTTTTTGAGTTTTTCTTGAAAATCTTGTTCTTGGAATTGTCACTATGTATGTATTGTTAAAAAAGGATACTAATAGTGGCATTACCTTGTACCATGTCATAGGTGGTCCTGCTCCTCCTTTGGCCGGACTCCATTGTACCTTGCTCGATCCTTCCTCTGTGAACACTTCAAGCTTCTCTCCCTTTATGCCAACCTGAACATGGTGAACCGGCTCTAGTATCCATTGACTTTTGATCGCATTTGTGTTCGTGTATGAATGAAAATAACTGAAGATTTTAAATTTTACCTCATGTGCCCAACCGTTGAGGGTAACATCAAGAGTTCCAGCATTCAAACCTTGGATCATCACAGCTCGAACCCCAGCAAACCTCTTTTCCATGTAGGCTCCGCTATCCTGATAAAGACTTTCGTTATCAGTCTCTCTTTTTAGAGTCATACATAGAAATTTAAAAGCAAAACTACACAATTTAAACATGTTCTTTACCGGGAATCCCACAGTCATGCCCAAAAGTGAAATGTGATTCACTCCTGGCTTCAAAGTTATGGGCTTCTCAAAGACAAAGCTCTTCTCTACATGGCCTCCATGTCCAAATCCTGAAAATTAACAACCATTATTAGCTATATATGAAACATCACTTTGATAGAAATAAAACAACGTTTTTTGCTTGGGTTCATGTGATTGATTACCTATGTATTCCCCATTTACAAATGCAGCCATGGCATGACCAAGGTTTGCAATTTGGAGGACTGGGAGAATATCAGATCTCATTGGCAAGTCACGGCGATCAAAGTTAATGCTGCAAGAAGAATGCCAAAAAAAAAAAAAAATGTCAGATTCAAGAAAAAATATCTATGTACCTGTTTGTTTTCATAAATAGTATTTCGAATTCTTTTAGGATTTTGTAAGATATGATTATTACCTGGTGCTGTACCATGCATAGTCCGAGGTGTCTTTGGTGAAGCTGTAGAGCTCCAATGGAGTCTTGCTTTTAACTGACAATTGGTTCATGGTTGGAATAACTTCTGGGGACATTTCCCATTTAAGATTGCTTGCTTTCTTTGATGGATGGAAATTTCTTGCATTATGTTGCGCAACAATCTGTCACAAAAAATTAAAAACATTCTTTATAAATCGATTCAAGCTCAAATTCGAGTGCAACCCTTTTTCAACCGTTCAATTTGAGCACTTTTCTAGGATTTTCCCCCCTGGGAATGTAGCGTTGTTGAATTTCAAATTGGAAATTACCGTTTGGGTATTGTAAACCAGAGTCTTGCAATCAGGGAGGATGCCAATGGATTTCGGGGGAAGATAGTATTCTTGACCCCTGAAATTGATAGTTGCAGGAACCTTGGTGTTGTTGTTGTTCAAGAAAGCGGTGCAAATGCTAGTTCCAGGCTTCTCATAAGTTCGAACCTGTGTTTAAGTACCCGGTTAGTCATCAATACCGATATCTCATCTTTCTTGTTTTCGGTGTGCGCATGTTTTAAAATTCCAAGTCTCTTAGTTTCATTGATATGCTTACCTCTAGGTCCTCACTAATCTTTTGGACAGAAGGAGCACCCCAAAGCAAAGCCTTTTGGGACAATCTCAAAGCCCTATGCAAGTCCTTAAGGTGACCAAATTTGGGCTCCCTTGGCAAACCTAAAAAAAATAAAATAAAATAAGAGTAGAGATACGCCTAATTAGCCATTTGAATTAGCTCAATTAAGTCAATAGAGTTGGAAAACTAGACAATTCCAACCAAATTCATCAAGAGGAGCTTCATCATAGTAGCGAGTTGTCACAAAAGATGAACTTGTTCTGGCAAAATTTGTTCCACCATGGTACTGCAAACACAAACACGAAAAATGATCTATATCAGAAAAAAAGGAAAAGAAGCAATGAATTTTGAAAACACAAACTTGAGAAGAAAGTCATATTATGTAACCATGTAGTAATTGGTAAGAGTTCCGTTCTTTGAGAAGAAGCGTGCAACTGCATATGCAATATCTTCTGCTGCTCTTTGAGATGGCGGGTCTCCAAAAACTCTGAACCTGCATTTTCAAATTTTAACAAAAATTCAATCCACATTAGCAAGAACACCAAAAAAAAAAAAAAGAGAGAAAAAGAAAAGAAAAAAGCACATCGTAGCTAATCTAATACTCACTGAGCGGTCCAGTTCTCAGTCCATAGAGAAGGCTTGTTTGGGCTATTGGGGCCAATGAAAGTATCTCCACAGTGCCTTCCATTGCAAGTATTGATCTACACAAAACAAAAGGATTTAAACGACATGTTTGAATATCTATCTCTATTATATAAGACGCATAACTCAGAACTCAGAACAGTTTTGAAGCTGTCACTTTTTTCCCCCCAAGAACAGCCAGATTGTTAACTGCTCCAGTAAATAACCGCTATCAGTTTTCAAACTCTTGTTCAAAAAAAAAAAGCTTTCAAACTCAACCCATTTTCTCATTGATCAAACCACCAAAAGAAAAAAATGATGTAAAATTATATAACTTACAACTGGATCAGGGGCATCCTTTTGCTTGCACATGATCCATGGGACTCCGGTTTTTAGACCAACAGCCATGTTTGCTGACCACTGAATGTATCGAATACCTAATTCACGGTATGCCAACTGGACGGTATTGTACTCATTTTCGATCTGCAATTATCAAATAGAAAACTTAATTAAAAGAAAACTTTGAAACCACATGAGAGTGTGTGTTTTGGAAGGTTCATTAGATAAGACCAGACCTGTGACAAAATGATGGGTCCTCCTTGAGGATAAAATAACTTCTCGTTCTTCATCATACCAATGATCTTCTTGACATATTTCTTCATGTGATACTGCAAAATTGTCAAAAATGAAAATTATGTTATTGGTTTATATTTAATTTTTACACATTCGTAATAGGTTAGGAAAGTGTTGAAGAGGATTATGACCTTGAATGGTTCATTATCAGCTCGGAATGTGATGTTTTTAACATCTCTTAGCCAGTATGGAAATCCTCTTCACAAACCGTGACATTCAAATTAAAATATGAATATATATATATAAAAGAAGAGGAAGAAAATGGTAAAATGGAATTGTACCCAGAATTCCACTCTGCTTGGATGAATGGTCCAACCCTGAGAATGGCATACATGCCTTGGTCACCAATCATTTTGATGAACTTAACCAAGTCAGCATTCCCCTCAAAGTTAAACTGCACATATTAGTACAAAATTCACATTAATCCCAGTAGAAGCTAAATTTTTTCTCTCTTTCCATCCACAAATTCAAGATCTGATATTTCTACATAAATTTTATACATAATTCTTGACCAAAACAATGTGATAATGGCATTTTTAAAAGTAGAAGCCACCTTCGTGGCTCTTTTGCTTTAAAGTGATAAATTTAAAAACTTGCCAAATTGCCACATCATTTTGTATTGATTTTCCCTCGATTCCATCTTGATCATATCACATCTTTACAAAAATGGACAGCAACTATGATTTTTACAAGGATATTGCTATACAAGTCTAAAAGTTAGACCTAATTTTCAAGCCCGATAATGACAATCGATTAGGATATCTAAGGCAATTCTCTCTCTCATATCTTTTCTAATCATCAACCAATCATATCATGTACACATCATTGAATTTAGAACATGAGTCTAGAAAATGGGTTTATATATCAATTTTCTTTTTAGAATAGACCGTCCATTATTTTTTATATGAATGTGACCTGATCATTTGATTACTAATGTCCATCAACCTAATTTTTTGTGCAATTGATTTACTTGGTAGGCCCTAAGATAGGCTCGGGGTGGGCCCATTGCTGGTCCAATAGGACCCTCCAGTCTGCCTCCTTTCTGTATAGTTTTTCTATTTGTATACTTGATCCAAAAATACCTGGCCTTGAACAGGCTCGTGAAGGTTCCAGAAAACATAGGTCTGAATGACATTCAAACCCCCTTCTTTAGCCTTCCTTATAAGTTGAGGCCACATCTAAAAAACCAAATCCAACAAAAACCATTAGTCCTTTCCATTTCCAAGCCAAAAAACACGCTATTATCATCTGTGATCAATCTTTAAAATCTTCTAATTACCTCAGGAGTGCTACGGGGATAATGAATAGAACCCGAGAAGAGAAGTTCACGAGTTCCATTGATGATCAGAGACCGCCCATCGTATGTCACGGATTTCGCTTGGTCCTGGGCGACAACAGAGGTAACCAGCAAGGAAAGGAGTGCTAAAATGTGCAGAGACATTTTTACAGTTTGGTTTTCGTATCAATGGTGATCGATGAAAATAAAAGAGATAGAGCTAGTTGGCACCTCTTCCTTATGGGGAGGAGGGTGCCCAGTAACTGTCTTTAAGGAAGCCATGGGAATTCCTTGTTATAGACAAAGGGTATGAAAAATATTGGGTTCAGAGCAAATCTAGGTAAATCTTGGGTATCTATTTTTCTTTTTTCTTTTTTTTGTATTTTTTTTGGTTGTGGTTAGTTCTTGATGATCTGTGTCCGTCTCTCTCTTCATGTTAGTTATGTGTTTGTATCTATTTTTGGGAGGGAGTGTATTGTTGTAACAGTTTTTTGACATAACAAATAACTGAAATTCAAATTTGGCGGGGAAAAAGTCAATGTGACTTTGTTGAGGAAATTAACCATACACATGGTGGGCAAGCAATCGTGCCACTTAGAAAATGGAAATTTCCAAAAAAAATTATTAGGTGCAGATAGGTAACGCGTGGCAATGTCATGATGTATTTTTTTTTTTTTTTTTTTATTTCTCAAATAAGGTTGATGATCCTACCTTTTAAACCAATCACCACATGAAAATATCCTTACATATATAAATAATTGCTTGAGAACTCAACTTTTTAGATAAGAGAGGAAAATTTCCCAACCCAACCCCAAAAAAAAAAAAAGAAAAAGAAAAATTTGCAATTGAGAATTGAAACACTCTCCCATATTGAACTATTGACTAAAAAGAGACACACTGGTATTAGTTATGTCATTTTACGATAAAAGTTATAAATGAGCAAATCTATATATTGTACACGCTCTAAAGTGAAATTATGAACCATTTTGCAAGAAAAGTTGGGACATGTTTATAAGGGATTGCAACGTGGTTTGAGTTTGACACACTTTCCGATTGATAAAAAATAGTGGGTCTACACTTTTAAGCGAGGTTAATCTATACGTTTTAGGTATGAAATTCACTGTTTTGGATCAATCAGAATTTATGTATTGTTTATACATTCAAAAAATGTGTGAACAAATTTATTTTTGTGTGATCTGACCTTGAAATGAGTAATAAATTAACTTTTATGGGAGATCAATAATGCAGGTATAAAAAAAAAACCATATATGTCTTCTTATTTTTTCAAAAGAAAACTTCAGGAGCTAAGAGATTAGTGATGATTTTCGATGTAGAAGTATACACATAGAATCTAGATATCTTTCAAAAATGACCTTCTTATGTAAACATTTTATATTTTTATTTATTAAAATGATATTGCAGGGAAGGTTTCGAAAATAAAAACCAATATGATAATGATAAGCCTTTTGTTTTAAAATGATAAAATCAAATATTGTAATATTATTTTATATTAATTTTCTGTAAATTTTTTCTGATTTGTATAACCTACTCTTTGTCCCTACTTGTAATCACCTGAAAACGAAGATAGCCGGCCATCTATGTACTATCAAGATGTCCTAAGTTTGACTCCTCTCAATCATGTTATGTTGATGTCTTGACATATGTGGCCAAGGACGGACACAAGATTTTAATTTTAGGAGACAAACTTATATATTATTGTTTGCATAGTTTAGTTCGAACAATTTTTATTGTGAAAAATGTAGAGATGTAATTTGGGTGGGCTCAATTCGAGCAATCCGAATCGAGTCTAAATTTTTTTAAGACTTTAACAAGATATTTTTAAATTCGATATGGGCTTGAATAAAAATTTAGAAGTTCGAATTAAATTTGGATAGGCTTGGGTAAAGACGCCAAACAACCCGAGCAACTCGAAACTCGAATTATAAATATATAGATATATAAAAATATTAAATATACATATAAATTATTAGTCATTACATGATATTAAAGTAATTTAGATTATTAAATCATATTGAATATGTATTATATATACAAATAACATAAAATCTTACTTTTTTTTATTTTCACTCATAAATCGTAATAACTACTATAGCAGCATCTCTCTTACATTATACAAATTATTTATTTTGATGGTATTAATAATTTTCTATATTTAAACAAAAAAAAATTGAAATTTATTTACAATTCGGGCAATTTTGGTTTAACTCGGATCGGGCTTGGGCAGACAATCTTGAGTTATAATTTGGGTCTAGGCAAGTCTCGACACAACTTAAGTTAGACTTGAACAACTTCCCAATCCGACCAAACCCGCCCTAGTTGTACCTTTAAAAAATGTGCTTTGATCTTGATATACGTGGACCGAGGATTGTGGATGCGGGATGATTTTAAGTGTTTGGGATTTATCAATTGTGCGGGGAAAGATTCCTCACTCTTGAGAGCAAGATGGTTTTGCACAAGCCTTCGGGTTCTTACAAATAATGCACAACAGTTGAGAACGGTCCTACTGAAGGTTTTGTTACGATTTGATACAGAGTGGTAAATGATTAGTACTTATTAGAATCTGCATTACTCCAATAAATTTTGAGTCGAAGAAATCTCCAATGATGAAGTCAGTAATATGTGCTTATGGGAATGGAATTTGGTATAGTGTTGGCAATTATTTGTACATCTCTTCTTCTTACTCTCTTTTTATTGTTGTGTATCATTACTGAGTATCGCTTCCCATGAAATATTTTCTTAGAAAGATTTAATTGTCATTTTGACATTTGCAAATCCCTACACTACATTGCTCGTTGCCCAAACATCAATTGTTTGATCGGTAAAATGACTTGCGCTACCATTGATCTATCCTTATCTTATCTCATCCTCAATGTCCTTTGATTGAGATTTTTATACTTCTCATCTTGACAAGTCTAGTTGGCAAAAGTCCTCTTTAGTCGCTGATTATTTTTGTCGATTAAAAATTTTGATCGCTAGATAATTGACGACTAAAAAAAGTTTAGTCGCCAAAAATTTCCTATTGGCAACTAATTTTTTGATCGCCAAAAGCTTTTAAATAAAGTTTATTAGGACAATTATTTTAGACGACAAATATTAGTTGCCAAAATTTTTTTTTGCTCATCTTAATTTTTTTACCTACTAAATGCTTTAATCTCCTAAAGCCTTTTTTATTTTTTATTTTTGGTTACTAAATATTTAATCACCAATTTTTTTTTTTCATTTTATTTTTTTTTCAGCAACTAAAGTTTTAGTTTTTTTGTTACTAAATATGTAGTCACAAATTTTTTTTTTCATTTTTTTTTCTTTTTAACTACTAAAATTTTAATCGCCTAAAGCTTTTTTTTTTTTTTTGTTACTAAATATTTAGTCACCAAAAAATTATTTTTCATTTTTTTTTTCAACTACTAACTATTTAATAACTATAATTATTTACTTCTTTTTTAGCTACCAATTGTTCAGTCACCAAAAAACATCATTTTGTGTTTTTTTTAATTAATTTGTCCACAACCTGTATGTATTCCATGCAACCTGTATTATGTATATAAACAAAACAATGCATATGTTATCAACTATTTCATAATCTTCATCTATTTCATTTCCAACCATCCAAAAAGGAAAAACTTTTAATGTCAAATTTCATACAAACTAAGTATATTCCAACATAAATTAATAATTTCATACAAAATAGAAAATCATACAAAAAACATGTCCCGGTACACAAAAAATATATTCGCTACCATGCCAAATGGCCATTTGGCATGATACAAATTACCAGTAATTTGTACCACTACAAAAAGTAATCTATATACCACGCTAATAATTATCTGTTCGATGCCAAAAAGTAATATGTACCATGCCAAAAATTATCTGTATAATTAATATTAAACCACATATGTAAAGCAGGGGATGAAAAAATAATAGGATTATACAAAAGTGTAAATTGTCTTCCGTACACAAAAATAGAATATTCACAAGTCCACACCAAAAGCCATCTACAAAAAAAATTGCACCCATTAGTACCAGAAATGCATGCAAAACTTGATAGTTTCATGCAAAAACATCAGAGGTTATGGTGAGTAAATTAAATTGTTCATCTTCTTTAGTACTTTTTCCATTATACTCTTACACATGGTTGAAGTGTTGATTGAAAAGATGACATTTTGTATGCATTTTTTAAAAAATAGCATATCCATGGAAACAAGTAGCAGCACTTATTGCTATACAAAATATCAATACATTTAGTCCAATAGTATCGAGCAACATAAAGTTCCAAATGCATGTGAATAACAGTAATCACTAATAACATTTAAGATTAAAAGTAGTGATAAAATATGTTTGAAGACTCAGAAAGTAGTTATCCATAATTACTAATACATGTGGCAAACAAGAAAGCAACCAATGTTTTATTTAGACCCAAACAGTCCTTAGTAGCCAATGTTTTCTCGTTCACTCATGTCTCTTCTACTGTAACTGCTAAGCATTCCCCCTATTAGCAAGTACCTCTTTCACGGTTTCCCAGATGAACTGTTGGCAGCCAAAGTAACAAATTCACTATGCATGGCCATCATATTTTGAGAGTCATTCTTATACAGAAGATTTATGAATCATATTTTGAGAATGATGTAGGACAACTTACAAAATTTGGCCTAAGGCTACTGACATTGAGTTTAGGTTGAATTTTTACGATATAAATAGGTTTTGTATTTTTTTAGATAGATGAATACTCAAATCGAGATATATCAGCTTGCACCTCATTAAGACTAAGAGGTCAAGAATTCATGTCTTAAGCACATGAAAGACTCTTTTTTTATGTCCTATGTTTAAATAAAAGGTTTCTTCTACAAAAGGTAGCCTATTTCCAATGAGAAATTGGCTATGCATATATTTCACGCCTTTCATTTTGCACTTCTAAAATAACCGACCTACTTTTCTGCATCTAATTCATATATATCATGGAAAAGAAAGTAGAAACAGAGGCATTCTGAGTATGGGACACTAGGAAAATTCTGATTTCAAATCCCCCAACATCTAATAAGTGGCAATCCTAGAATCGAGTTTAAATAAATGAAAATGAGATAAACAACCTTATAATGAAGGTAACAAATAGTTTTCAAACCTGGTTTTCATTGACGTCTGCTCAACGCATATGTGGTGGGTACTTTGAATTTATCAAGTTTTGATACATGTTGAGTTCATGGTATCTTTTTTCTTATTCTCATGTTGTTCTTTAAATTGATATTATTCTGCACATGATAAGTTTGTGCTACACTGCTAGTATTGAAGTGCGACACCAATGCTTCATGGTTTGTATCATATGCCAGAGCATGTGAGTAATACTGTTGAAATGTGAAAAGGGATTTGAAAATAACAATCTGACACCACGTGATATAAAAATTAATTGGCGAGTAAGGTACAGATGCGTATATTGGAAAAGCCAAATGGTAATAACCTCTAAGTGTTGATATTTTATGAAGGATTTTCACCATGAAAAGAACACTATCATAAATGAGCAAACCAATGCAAAATTCAACAAACCCAAATTTGCAAGATAACAAAATACACAATTGAAGTTGGTTTGAAGCATATATAATCAAATCAAAGGAAGCATCAATTCATGCAAAACCCATGATGAGAATCATGAAAAATGTAAAATGGAAGGACTCACGTTGT